TGTGTGGGTGGGTGTGTGTGTGATAGAGAAACTCCCTGATGGTGTCTCTCTGTCTTCTTTTGTCACTGTTTCACTTATGTTTCCTTGCTATATTGTATGGTATAGTAATGCTTGAATATATTGCAGTGGTGCACACGACTTTGCTTAGACTGAAAGAGAACAATAGCCTTGCCTGTAAAGCTGTGTGTGTATGTGTGTGTGTGTCAGTCAGTCAGTCAGTCACTGGCATTCCAGTCAGGTATAAATAGGCATGAGGGACTGGAAAGAGCAGGAGCAGATGTGTGCCTTTCACATGTGTCCATAATTTACTTACCTGCTTGTTTATGGTTGCCGCATGTATTTGGTATATATTTTTTCTAAAAGCAAATATAAGAAGTCTAATTTTGGATCCGCTTTTTAATTTGGCATACATTTTGGGATTAGAAAGTAAAGTTTGACTTAAAGTTTAAATTATTGTGAGTCAGAATCAGATTTGCTGTCTGGTCTGTGGTCATCTTAGATTCTGTTAAATTTGGGAATATGTTTCCCCCGCTCATATCATGTGTCCTGTCTGTGCCTCTCTTTATCTCTTTTTCCCCCCTCTTTTCCGTTTCGCTTTCTTCCACTTCTGGGCCAAAGACTCCCCTCTCCCCCCTTCTCATGCCCCTGAACGCTCACTCCACAAATTGTTAAATCATGTAGAAAATTAAGCAAATCTGCTACTTAAGTGAGTCTTGCACGAGGATCACGTAGCTGTCTTGTAAAACAGGGGGAGGATGGGAGACGGAGGGAGAGGTGAGGCAGACGCCGGCTTGCATAGTGGAGTTTCTCTCTGTCTTTTCTGACATGTCTCTGAAATATTCATCAGTAAATCAAAAGTGAGGAGTGCAAGGGGAAATAGATTGTTCTAGTTCAGTTTTTAGAATATCAACCCTGAATAAAACATGTAGTGGGAACGGAGGAGAGAAAGCCGTGTCAGAGGCAGCGTTGGCATAGTGGGAGTTAGCTGCATATTTTATGCTTTTCATATTTAATTTCTAAGAACACCTTCTTTTTTTTTCGCCTAGCGGTCTGCATGTTTCCGGGTTGCTTATGTGCACATGCTGCTTCAACATTGGAGCAGAGAGGAAACATGGTCATTTTGTGGTTTCCTTTTACATGAATGGCCATTCACACTGGAAATATACCCTGCCCCTTCACTCAAGAGCATTTTTGTGTTAAAAGATGTTTGTGCATTCATAGGTCATGTACAGTAGGGGATTTTATCATTGTAACATCTCTGGATGTTTTCAAGCATGTCTTGCACACTCAGAACACTGCATTTTCAACATGATGCATATAAAGGTCAATTTATTCCCTGAGTCGTTGCCTTTTCGTTTTTTGGGGGGGGGAGTGCGTGTGGTGGTGCATGTATTAGCTGTGTGTGTAGGTCATGTAGAAGATAGCTTGTCTCCATAGAGAGGTACTACTTAACACTGGAGACTGTCCTCTCCTGCAGGCCGTTACATAGGGTGATTCATCAAGGAGATTGTGCAAGTCAACGCAGCCCACCCTGCCTCACATAATATCCCCATGTGTGTAGCTAGATTTATGTGTATGTATTTGGTAAACGTGTGTTTATGTGAATAAACTTGTGCAACCGCTATTGGGGTCAAATATGAGTAGTGAGTCAGTGAAGTTTTTATAGAATTGTCCCAGGGGTTGGTGGCACTTGTCTTTAGAATAAACGTCAGCAGAAGCTTTTGCTTTATAAAAATGTATTTAAATTATAAAGCTTTCAAATGTGTAATGTTGCAAACTGTACTTGCCTCTTTAATGGATGGAGGAGGCGTAAGCATTAGCGATGGGACGAAAAGGAGACGCAGACTAGAGAACGCTATTAAAGTAGAAAATGCTGCACTTTACTCTGCCAGTCTACTTTGTTGTATGTTTATGGATAAGTGTGAATGCACATGCGCATGTGTTTGCGCTAATGTATACAGGGTGATGCTTTTGGTAAATGTGTGTGTGTTAGAGAAGGAGGGGGTTGGTTTTGGGAGAAAGTGTGTGTGTGTGCGCATTTGTAGGGTGGGGTGTGTGTATGGAGGGTGTTGAGACAGACAGCAGAATCCCATTTACACTTGTCAGTGTGGGTTTGGATCAGGTCTGACCCCTGTGCTCCTCAGACTGAAGCCTGTAATGAGACTGTGAGCTTCACGTATTAAAATCACACCCTGCCTCGTACGGGCCACCGGCCACTCCCTCCCCCTCTGCTCCCTCTCTGCTCCCTCTCTGCATCCATCCTCTCTCCCCATCTCTTTCCCTTGTCTCCGGGCCTTGTCTATATACATCTGCTGTGGCAAAATAGCATGTGGAAAAAACAATGATATCAAGCTATGCTGAGAGAAAACCAGCGTCTGTAAGGCTGATTATTGATTAGTGAGTAACTCTGCATAGACAATGGTTGATTGATAGTTAAACTTTTAGGTGGACAGGTATTGACCAAACCTTCAGCCCTTTTCTCTCCTTGCTTTATCTTTCTAACAGCCCTGCTGCTTAGATTAAGTGTGTGCCTCATCTGTGAATGAGTTTATTTGCAGAAGGGGAGGAGCTTTGTATATTTATATATATATATATATATGTGTGTGTGTGTGTGTGTGTGTGTCTAATTACAAAAAGCAAGCTAAAGCAAGTGTATTGATTATGTATTTTCTGTGCCAGAAAATACCCTGTACTGAGATTTTTAAGAATGGTGGAGCTCCTCCAGAATAGGGAAGGTGGAGGCTGGACACCATATGTGTGTGTGTTTGTGTGTGTGTGTGTGTGTGTGTTTTTGTGCATGCCTGCATAAATACGATGTTCACTTGTGTTCATAAACTTGTGCATGTGCGTCCACATGTGTATGTGTATACGTGCAGTGAATAAGTAATGTTAGATGAAAACACATGAGGTTTGGTGGTGGTTGGAGATGAGGGGCTCCCTTGCTTCGATAACCATGTTTATGTATTTGGGGGTCAGAGGTGGGAGGTGTGTGTGTGTGTGTGCATGTGCCAGGGAATGCCTGCGGTGTTTTTGGCACCAGTACATTGCTGGTACAACTGACAGCTCACCAGCCACCTGATCCATAATTTACCCTGACAAGACTGAACACAGCCTGGCCACTACCTGCCAACTCTGGCTATGTGACTAAAGTGGAAAGAGCGAGACGTGAAAAGACAAAGACTTGGGGTGAGGGGTAGAGCTGCGGGGGTCGAGAGCAGGATGAGAAGATCTTTCAATGCGAGGCTGGCACAGTAACCGAGGTTGTTAATCACTAATGAAGGGATTACTGCACAGAGGTGTGAAGAGAGGTGTAACTTCACCACAAAGATAATGAATGAATAAACAAGATTATGTTATTTATTATAAAGGGCAAAATAGGTCTAGCCCTGAGACTGAGATTTCATTCAGGTCCTTTTTTACAGTCCAATATATCCATCCTCACAGCCGGTAATCCCGTGAGGAGTGATAATGCCTGGAATGAAGATCATTCAGAGAATGTTTATGCTCAGGGAGGATTGTGAAATTACAGGCCTGGGACTGAGTCAGTTCAATTTACTGCCTGCTCTACACAGCTGTGGTCTCTTGCACTGAAGTGGACACCATTGCTATAGCTTCATCTTTGGAGTTCAGTATTTTGTGAGCTTGTCTCTGTCAGACAAGGTATGTGGTAATATAGGTATCGTAGGCCAAAGTAGTTCCTCCTGTGGCGCTTTTTATGATTTTTTTTTTCAGCATTTAGTAAATTTTTTACATTTTACATAAATGTACTAAGCATATTGCTTGTCTAAGCAGTGTGATGACAGACTGCTGAGCATCAAAGTCAGCTGCTGTGTGTCTGAACTCACCCCAGACCTACTGGCCTGCTCTCCTGAGCCACTTTGTGGAAGTATTTGATTGTGCTCATGAGAGACACACACATCATCATCAGTGGCACGCGTGTGTATTTTACTTGACAAGTAATTTTATTTTACTCTGACAAGCTTATATATAATGTCTGGGTGCATGTGCATATATGAATGTACATGCATGATTGCTTTGCACGCCTATCTAAGAGTGGCTGTATCTCAGCAGACCATGAAAATCGAATTTGGCGAATCCACCTAGATCACCTTTCATCTCTGTGAAGTCCATCTTTCCTTTTAACCCTCCCGGCTAAGTTAGAAGCTGGCTATGGAGAGTGAAGGGGGTGGGTGATATGTGTGTGTCTGTCTGTCTGTGTGTGTGTGTGTGTGTGTGTTAAAATGAACATCAGTGAACACTTTCTTGACATTTAAGATATGCTTTCATAATCCACATTTCACGCTAGTCAAGATGCTCTTGATGTGATGCAAGTTTGAGAGAAAATGATGGGCAGCAAGCCAGATGCAAAGGGGTGCTATATCAGTGCTGTGTTCAGTGCAACATTAGAGGGTTTTAATGTACTGTACTTAAGTCATTCCTAATTCTCCAAAAATCTATGAATCTATTAAAAGTTCAGAGTCCAGAAAGAATCCAAGGTCTGTTTTTCATACAAAGACTAGCAGAAAATTCTCACCTTTTAGCAGCTGAAACCAGTGAATGTTTGGCATTTTGCCAGAAATATGGCTAAAACATTTGCAAATAAATTTTCTTTTGATTGACTAATCACTTAATTGAGTTATTGTTGCAGCTTTTTGCAGCGGGGTCATCTGCTAGCAGATGAGTTAATCTTTGTACAGATCGGGAGGAATGCAGGTATTAGTGAGCTCAGTGGGGGAGAGAGCCGAACATAGAACAACTCTTTATTCTTGGGGATCAACAGACAGATTCAAGCACACATGCAGCATCCATCAAATTACCAGTCCTCAGTGCACATCTGTCAGGCAAACGTTGTCTCAGTCTTCTGTGCGGAATAACCGAAACATAATAAATGTGGCAGAGCAGATGTTTTGTCCACATGATACACTTTACA